GAATAATACTAGCAATGTTTCTCTTATCCCTGCTGGTTCCTTGAATCTCTCTGGCATAGATAGTGGCATTACTGATATCTTCTTTATATTTGTCACAGTCGGTAACTCTGTAGGCTTGGTTTTAAAAACATTCTTGAATCTGTGATTTCCTCTGTAAAAGACAGCCCAAGAGGGAGCGGTAAAGAGGCAGAAAAATGAAGAGGTGAAAATCTGCAACGTTGCTTTATCTGTGGTTTGGTAGTGCAGCAGAGTCTGTGTAGTGCAATGTGCATGTGTGCCTCATTTGGCTAACATTCCCTAGCTCACTGTCTTTGTCCAAATATATTAGCAGTTCATTATGTATCCCTTCTTAATTTGAATAGCATGCAATAACCCAGAAGGTAATACAAGCTCCCAGTTAGAGCAGGGAAAAGTCATGGCAGCTGATGATTTAGACCATAGTTTAACCACTTCAGTATTGGGCACTTTTACCCCTTTCCTGACCAGGCCAATTTTCAGCTTTCAGCGCAGTTGCATTTTGAATGACAATTGCACAGTCATGCAACACTGTACCCAAACTAAATTTTTATCTGTTTATTCACACAACTAGAGCTTTCTTTTGGTGGTAATCACCACTGGGTTTTTTATTTTTTGCTAAATAAATGAAAACAGAGTGACAATTTTGAAAAAAAAACCCACATTTTTATTTGTTTCGGTTATAAAATTTTGCAAAAAAGAGCCTCTTATCTCAATCAGGGATGCAAAGAGACCTGGTCAGAGCTGTAAAATATTAATTGAGGTCTCCTGGATGTCTGTTTCCACAAACCATGAAAAAGTCTTCCGTCTGACCTACCGTAAAACAATAGTAGCTCAGTCAAGCCTGTCGCACATGATGTGTAAGGCTATTAAAGCTCTAGAAATGCAGAGCGTGGCATAAAACTTTTATTCTACAACTTATCAATTCCACATACAATAAATAGAATTCAACAGGAATAGGACACATTAATATCAGGTATATATTTGAATGGGGAATATCATACTGAATAAATGAAGGTCATACATGAATACCCTAGCACATTCGAAAGGAGAGAAGCAGTCTCCTCCCTCCTGGGTGACAAAGGTACTCTGTGTTTGGTATCTCTGGATATGAAACATAATTCTGAATAATATTCTGTCAGTTTCTAGAATACCACCCGCATATATTGGAAGTTATTAATATTAGTGTAAAACTGTATTTGAGAATTGGTCATAATTGTGGTGGCCTCCCAGCACCCATTCATTAAACTGGATTATTGGTCAGATGGTTTCTGGCAACACCCCTTTCCCAGAAAAAGGGGATGACAGGACCTAGTAAGCTCTCATTTTAACATCCACCAAGGAACACCCAGGAGAGTCACGACAATGTTTTTGCTTGGACAATTGTACTCTGCTAAAACCAGAACTTTGCAAGTATTCTCTATTATTATCTCCTTTTAATTCTCTGTTGCTTTATTGTTCTTTTTATGTCTTTGTAACATCCTTTTCTGTAAATAATTGAATTGCACCATTTGAATTTTTCATTAATAAGCCCTATTTTCAAAAGTGTTAAAACTATTTCTAAGGCTGTTAACGCAAACTAAAGAATCCGTCTCTTGAAGAGTGCTACGGATAATAATACTCTGAATCTACCTGTCCGTGGTGACAGTGTGTGTTGCAGACATTTATGCTTTAATCATAGTGTTATTGCTACGATTTGTGGGTTTCCTCCTTCATGGTAAAAAGGCGGTGGTGACAGTTTAAATGGTGTATTGCTTAATTAATTAACCCAGTGACAATCGATTTCAGGCTGCTGGCACATAGATTGTGGTCCTGCGAGCTGGAAAATCTTTGTGCACGGTGCAACTGAGAGTGGCATTGTTACACAAGTGACAGCGCGGTGTGAGGTCCACTGGTCCTTTGACCGGAGAGAAGGGCAGGGGTCGCACTGCGTTCGTCACAAATAGTTCTTAACAAATTTAGGCCAAAATGTATTCTGCTCCATTTCTTTGGTGAAAATAACCTAAATCAGTGCATTGTATGTAGTCTTAAGGAAACTTATAGAGTACACATACTATGGTATACTGTATATCTAAAAATCAATCAATCCTGATGCACTGACAGCCTGTCTCATTTCTTGGGGCCCAAAAATGTCAGGACAGTACAGATATCCCCAAATTACCCCTTTGAAAAGTAGACAGTCCAAGGTATTTAGTAAGAGACATAGAAAGTTGAAATTTATTTTCATACTTGTATATAATAATATTAATAATAATAAACAGTAGTTATCAAATACCACCAACAGAAAGCTCTGTTAGTGTAACAAAAATATATAAATTTAATTTTGGTACAGCATTGCATGACTGAACAATTGCTAGTTAAAGTAGCAAGAGGTCAAGTAGGTATTGTGCAAAAAGAGGTCATTGAGACTATGGTCTTGTGTTGCAAGAAATAAAAAATAAAAATGACAACAGGATTCTGTTTAAAGAGGTATGGGACACGGGACAAATGCAACATAGAGAACCTATCAATAATGATTCGGATTGTCCATAACTCTGTTCCTGATTGGTTTGCTGGACTTGAGCCAGCTAGATGCTGAGTATACATATGACCACAGATACTGAAACATCTTTCAGATGGGGGCTATAGTACTGACAACATAATCAGTCAGTACTATGATGGTGCTTTTGGAATGAGTGGAATAAAAGGTGAGGTGCAGGCATTCCTACAGATAATGATTGGCCGACATATATCATACATACACTGTTAAAACCATCAGCTTCATCTGGCAGTGGTGCATGGTATGGAAGCTGAGCTATATGTCAAAACCTTTTTTGAGTTATCAGGTTCACTGCACTCATTACTTCATTGTCACTACATTACACAGCACTACAAAGTGCCATCTTTGAAAAAACTACTGGAAATACGGTGGACCAATCACTATAATGTGGCCAGGAATGTGTTTGAAAACCAGCATGCTATTTTGGATCTTCTCTCATTTCAGACAATGCTGCTGCAGGAATGGATATACTGTATGTACAGAAGCATCAGGACTATTAGTACAGCTAGGGAAACAGATTCTTTAAAAAAGGTAAAATTCTTCCTCGGATTCTCATTGCCTTAAAGCAATTTTAAAGGTTCAATTTCTTTTTTTGTAAAATAACAAACATGTCTATACTTACCTACTGTGTGGGTGGTTTTGCACAAAGCAGTTGGGATCCTCCTCTTGTCGGACCCCCGCAGGCTCTCCTGACTCCTCCTGTCTGTCACGTGCCCCCACAGCAAGCAGCTTGCTATGGGGGCACCCGCTGCTCCTTGTGCCCAATCACACACGGAACCGCAGCTTGGCCACGCCCTTGCTCTCTCCTGATTGTCCGACTGGCTGTGATTGACAGCAGTGGGAGCCAATAGCTCCCGCTTGCTGTCTCATCCAATGAGGATGCAGAGACCTGGGGCAGCCGAGGCTGTCATTCACATCGATGGAGCGTGATGAGGCTCAGGTAAGTATTGAGGGGGCTGGGGAAGCTGCTACATAGAATGCATAAAGGTAAAAAACCTTCAGCCTTTACAAGCACTTTAAAGCCAGCTAATTCCATTCTTCAAGCTTACCCAGTAGACCTCTGTAGTGCTGGGGAGGTTATCACATCCTCTTCGCAGCACTTAAACATATGCAAGGAAATCCTTCATATACTGAGTTTGAACAAACACATGATCCATCTGCAGCAAAGAGACAACAATAACTGACCAAGCATCTCACAGACAGTGTTGTTCTCTCTACTCTTGGTCATGCTGAGACTGATTCCTCCACAACACAGCCAATGTCTCTAAAACATTTTGGACACAGGCATTGCTGAAATTGAAAATAAGTTTTCAAAGCAAAATCTGGACCTCATGAAGGCAGTAGATTGCCTTCTCCCTCAGTCTAATTCTTTTCTAGATCTGGTTCTTTTGCCCCTTCTGCAACTGCTTACAGACTCAAAATGTAATTGACAGTCCTAAAAATGAAATTCTTGTTTCAAAACCAATGTTGCTCAAGAAATTTACTACAGAGGTGGACCTGTCTGCTGTGTGCTCACATGCCAGAAGAGTGAAGTGCAGCAAAAAACATGAATCACAAGTGCCACATAGCGTAAAACCTGCGAACGCTTGTTTGTTTGTTTTGAAAAGGTACTCACATTCAAATATACAAACAGAGCAGCATTACAAATGGAACTCTAGTGTTTCCTGGAGTGCAATGATGTCATATTTAGCCCTTCCCTTTTACATTTATGAATTATTGCATATGTGTACATTTTATGATATTTTGCATATATTGTATGTTTGATGATTTAAAGGCACAGCACAATTATTTATTGGTCTAGTATTCAATTTATGAATTATGAGGTATTACCCGTATTTTTCGCTCCATAAGACGCACTTTTTTCCCCTCAAAAAAGGGGGGAAATGTCAGTGCGTCTTATGGAGCGAATATGGAGCAGCCGATCCGGTATTTCCGCAGCTGACACCGTGTCCGAATACCGGGCCAGCCGCTCAGCTCTTCTCTGCAGCAGGACCTTACCTGATCCTCAGTCCAGCACTGTACAGTCTTCCCGCGCTGGCATCTTTAGTGTGGGAATCCGGCTGTGATAGCCGGGTGCCCACTGCGCATGGGCGAGAAGCGCTGCACTTTGTGAATGGCCCATCGTCTTCTGGGACCTGTCATGTGTCCCAGAAGACACCGGGCCATTCACAAAGTGCAGCGCTTCTCGCGCATGCGCAGTGGGTACCCGGCTGTCACAGCCGGGTGCCCACACTAAAGGGAGAACAACTATGTGGAAGTGGGAGCGGGTACCTGTCAAATTCAGGTACCCACTCTCCCTCCCTTCCCAAATGTCCAGTCTCTGGCAGGGGCGGACTGACAACTCATGGGGCCCCGGGCAATAGGGGATCATGGGGCCCCTGTGTCCTTGCCCAAACTCAAAAAAGCCTATGAAAAAGGTACCAGGGGCATCTCATGGGGCCCCCTACTGACCCCGGACCCTTGGGCACTTCCTGAGTTTCCAAATGGTCAGTCCGACCCTGGTCTCTGGTCATCTCCTGTATTGTTGGCAGTCCTGTATTGTCAGCAGTCTCTGGTCATTTCCTGTACTGTATGCAGTCTCTGGTCTTCTCCTGTACTGTCTGCAGTCTCTGGTCTTCTCCTGTACTGTCCACAGTCTCTGGTCATCTCCTGTACTGTCTGCAGTCTCTGGTCTTCTCCTGTACTGTCTGCAGTCTCTGATCATCTTCTGTACTGTCTGCAGTCTCTGGTCATCTGTACTGTGTCCGCAGTCTCCGGTCATCCCCTGTAATATGTCCGCAGTCTCTGGTCATCTCTTGTACTGTGTCCGCAGTCTCTGGTCATCTGTACTACGTCCGCAGTCTCTGGTCAACTCCTGTACTGTGTCCACAGTCTCTGGTCATATCCTGTACTATATCTGCAATATTCAGAATATTTTTTTTCTTGTTTTTCTCCTCTAAAACCTAGGTGCGTCTTATGGTCAGGTGCGTCTTATGGAGCGAAAAATACGGTATTTATGATTTTTGCATGTTTGCACATTTGCGATATTTCCACACTTGGATGGAGTTGATCATTTAAGGCGTAGAGCATGTGGATGTGTTAGAGTGTGACTGCACCTGATGTTTTTTGTATGATTCTTTTTTTTTGTATGATTTGACACCAAGCACAGTTTTTTAATGTTTTATTATTATTTTATTATTATTATATTAATATATATATTATATTATTTATTATTATATTACCAACTACATAGCGACAATGTCTGTTTAGACAAAATGTACGTGGGGGAAGAGAAGTCTGTGCTGGCACTATTCATGCTTGCTGGAGCCGGCTACAACGGCATTTTGAACACTACATGTGTTTTTAACATTCTAATTTTTTAAGTAGGATTCTGACTTTTATCAATAAATATTTATCTGCAGAGCTTCACTATTGGTATCTGTCTCTATCCTGCACTTGAGTATCTCTAGAGGTCAGGAGGAGATCGTGATGCCGGTATTTTGTGGTGGAGACTGAGGATCACATTACACACAACCTGAACCGTACCAGACCTCCTATAATTTGGGATCTTTAAATTTGGTAACAGGCTGTGTTTTTCTGTGGTGGTAGAACTCACAATTCACTGGATGATTCAATAGATGGACACTCTATTTCATGGGAATTATTTGTGATTTACTTATGGACTTTTTGTTTTCAATTCATTCACAAATATTTGGTTGAAAACTTCTGAAAACACTTAACACGTAACTGTTTACATACTCACTAATTATTTATTTCAGTGGAAATTATTTATTACACAGCTCAACAATCTTTTGTTAATTTGCTATCGTTACACACTGGATGTTTCTAAGTACAGCTGTGAATTGATTGCCACTAAGCTTAGCGAACAGGGAATTTTTGTTTGTCATCTAATCATCAGACAGCTAACAGTGGGGCCCAAACTTTATGGTGATGCATGTGTTACCATCACTTTAAAGTCTCCATGCAGTGAATGGCTGTTGGACTGCTAGGTAAGTAGAGGCTTGACCGTTGTCCTCAAGAATCTAGCCTCCAATGACTTAGTCCTCACGATTGGGTCCTCAAAGGCTCAGTTTCTCAGCTCTCTAGTTCTTAGTGGCTCAGTTCTCTGTCCCTGTGCACAAAGCACACAGATCTGTACTTTCCATTTCCAGAGCAACCACTTGGGTTCACACACAAGAGCCCCAATATCTCTCTCCAAGCCCACAAAAAAAACTCTACCACCTCTCCTCCTCTAGTTACAGGGACTCCTGGGCAATGAAGTATGCAGGCTCATTAGCCTCTGCAGTTCCATGCCTCCTTCTGGATTACAGTGTCGCAGTGTCCTAAATGGCTATATTAACATATCCCTGCTGCTTACTGGCTTACTGCCACTGCTGTCAGAAGGAAATGAGAATAAGAGAATGAGTGATCAGGGGAATCACAAAGCCCACAGCTGCTCCGCTCTATCCCTTCTCACAGTGGCAGGGAGTGAGCGGGTAGAGTATCACACAACCAGTAGGGCACTTGGCTACATTATGTACATGCTCTGTGTTCACAGGGCATAGCCCCATTAGTCCTTCCTAGGACTACCTTATTGTGTGTGTCAACAATGACTTCAGTTGTTGTGTAGCTCCTGGGTCCCCCTTGAAGTTTATTTTATTTCACTTTTTTTTTTACCTTTTTACTTTCAGCTGGGTTGTGAGTTTAGTGTTTTAATATTGGGGTTCCATTGTAATTTGTTATAATTTTGCTGGGTGTTTTTTAGGTCAGCAGTGCGAACTTGTAACTGGCATAGGCAAAGCTGTCCTTTCTTGCAGAACATCACTGTATGCTCATGCAGTACAGTTTAGTGTGCTAAATTACAAGATTCTTAAAGCGGTAGTAAATCACTGCTGATTAAAAAAAACCTGCACCACATACTAGCACATTATGATAGACTTACCTGTGAAATGGATCCCTCCAGCAGTACCCTGTCACCGCTGACTGGGAATCCACCTTCACCCTTATTATAGGCTTACCTGTAGGTACAAAGTAAAAAAAAGTGAGTGAGTTTTCTCCAACTTTAAGTGCATCAAAGCACCATACCCTTAACCTGCCATTGCCATAGCTGATAATAACGTTCAGAACTTTCCTGTATTTATATAGTCCAGGAGGCCTAAAGGGAGAGGCAGAGGTTCTGCACAGGCCACAGGCCATAACTTTGAGAGGCAGTCAACTCTTCCATGACAGTTTTCACTGCTATGGTGGCATTAGCTATGGGGGAGGAGGAAGAAGAGGGCAAATCTGCAGCTTCTGTCAGTGAGCATGTAATACCGCCAGAGCACACCATGGAGGTCTTTAAGTCCCTCACCAAGCCTTCCTTATCTTCTTCTTCCCAGGTGCAGAGCAGCAAATGTGCCCACTTTTTTTTTCCTCTAAGTGAATTCCACCATAGCCCTGTAATCTGGCAAGGGGGAGTTGGCTAAAATATTTCAGTGCAGTGTCAGTACCTTTCTGCTCAGAAGGCTATCCCTGGTTGACCCCACACCATTTTTTGCCATGGAAGGTCATGTGTAACCTTGCTGGTCACACTTCAGCAGGGAATGATCATAGACATGCCTTGCCTAGTACTAATCCTAAACCTAGTGGTGCTTTTTTTGTGGTTAGGTACTTGGACTTCCAGGATGTTGCCTCTGAAAGGACAGAAGAATGTAACAGCCACTTTAGATAGTCATATCTAGCAAATGTTCACCTATCAGAAATGCTGCAATACAAACTGCCTGCCAACTACCTAATATGTGATACAACTACATGTTGGGACTCAACTATGGCCATAGGACAGAGATGGCCCAGCACCAATGGGACATCATAAAATATCTGTGTGATTATGGGATCGCACAGATATTCACAGGCCATGAGGGAAATAAACCATTTCTAGGAGTCATTATTTTTGTTCCCTGATACAAAGGAAAAAGGCAGATCTTACACCAACAGGAAGGGAGCAAAAAATATGCCACTACGAAGTGCTGTGGAAGAACATTTTGGCCGCAATCTTCAGAGTGAGGACCCCATGGACTATTGGGTGTCCAGGCTAGACCTCAGCTTGTACAGTACACACTGGAGTTTCTGGCTTGTCCTGTTGCCAGTGTACTGTCTATGAGATCTTTCAGCTCAGCAGGTGGAAGAGAGACAAATCCACCTCTATATTGATACTGAACTGGCTTACTTTCATAAAAATTGACAAGTCATGGATCAACAATTATTACAAAACTGCTGCAGCAGATGCTACCAACTAATTTTTTTTCTTGTTAATTGTCCCACAAAAATTGTACCTTATACCAATACCACCTTCTGCTACTGACCTGTCACCCTTACTTGCTCCTGCTGCCTCCACTGGCTTGCTAACATTAACAGTCCCTGCCACCTCTGCTGGACTTCCACCAATACCAGCTCCTGCCACCATTACTAGCTCCTGCCACCTCTGCTGGCCTACCTTCATTACTAGATCCTGACACCTCTCCTGGCTTACAACTGTCACCAGCTCCTTCCAATTCTCTTGAACTTTAAGTATTTCCAACTCCATCTTTTCTTGCCTGCTCCTGCAACCTCTGCTGGATTACAATTATTACCAACTGCTTCCAATTCTTTTTTTTTTTTTTCCATGTCTCCATGCTTTATTTTGCTGAGAAATCACTTTGAAAAACACCCCCTAGCATTTCTTTTTTTTTTTTTTTTTGTTCCAAAAAACGTTTTATTGATGTATGAAAGGTAAACAAATGATAGAGAGATACGGATCGCAGTCCGTGCAAATTTCTTATACATTCTCCCGTACGCAGATCAAGACAATATATTAATTTGTAGAACATCAGGGGACGGAGTTCCACAGTAAGGCAAAAGTAATAGACGTAACCATAGCAATACTGACAGTAGCATGTACTTTAGATAATTATGGTATACACTGGGCTCTATGTAAGGAGAGTACACATAATCGGATTCTGAAGTGGTCGACAAAAGTATCCTCTCAAGGCATCTATGACATATATTTCCATCTCTAAAAAAATGTGGGCTACTGTTGTAGAATATTATTACATCTGTATAGCTATGAGTGTTCCGTACCTAATGAGAATAATAGCTAAGTAGACTATGAGAAAAGAGGGTGCAAATGAGAGAAAGAAAAGAAAAGAAAGAGAGGAGCATGGGGATGGAGGAAGAATATGAGATGAGATATCCAAATGAGGTGGGAGGAGACGCACATGACAAATAGAAGGGGGGAATGGGGAGAGAGAGAGGGAGAGGAAAAAAAAAAAAGTGGGAGAAGGAGGGGGGGGAGTGGTTGGAGGATGAGGTTCATATTTAAATAAGCATAACCAAACCAGTTACATCTATTAGTAACAGCCTAGCTGTATCTAATTCCATCTTTTTAATTAGAGATATAATTCAGTGAATGACCGTTAATGGAGTTATTGCCGAGGTGAAAGTTCTAGAGGCCTTCTGTGTCTCCAAGTCTTTCTCGCTCAATCCTTCAGCAAGCCATGGTAAGTATCAGTAGATTGGAAATGGGTCCAGTCTTTCTCGCTCAATCCTTCAGCAAGCCATGGTAAGTATCAGTAGATTGGAAATGGGTCCAACAAGGCCAAGTCTTCCTGAATCGCTCGGGTGATCTTTTGCCACTGAGATCAGTTCCTCCATTTCAGCAATCCTCTGGATCCTAAGAATCCACTCTCGTACGGTGGGAATATAGGCTGATCGCCAATGAACAGGGATACACTGCTTTGCCGCATTTAACATGTGTA